AACAGTGTAGGTGCGCTGTCTCCATCGCTGTCTCTCATGCTGGCCTTTCCACCCTGCCTCACAGCGTTCATTTGCCCCAACTCACAGAAACGTCCCTGCTCAGGCCACCAATGACTTTAGTGGCCAAATCCTATGGCACTTTTTTCCTTTCACTTTCTGTTTTGAAATTCATTCAGATTTACAAAAAAAAATTGCTAGTACAAAGAACTCCCAAAGATCCTTGCCTACATTCACTAGTTTTTAACATTTTGTCACACTGCATCATTCTTTCTCTGTCACTTTCACACACAGACACAGAAAGATATGTGTATGTATTTATAATTTATATTATTATTGCTTATATTTTGTGGTATTTGGTTTTTTCTGAACCAAGGGAGCCTTGCATTTGCATGACGCCTCTCCGCGGAGCCTTTGTACTCATCTGCAGGGTTCGACTATGTTCTAAATCCTCATTCTTGAAGTTTTTGTGTCTCAGGTTCCATGACTATTTTACCCTGGTTAGTTTCTACCTCCCTTGCAATCCCGTCTTAGTTCCTTTCCTTCTGTCCTCCACCTCTACCTCTGCCCACCCTTATACTTCTGCTACTCCCTGCAGGGCCCTGTTCTTGGCCATCTTTTCTTCTCCCACCCCCCACAGTTCTTGAGTCATCTCAGCAACTCCTATAGCTTCAATCCACCAAGCAGGCTTTGTGGTGCAAATGCACATGCCAATTCAGAGGCCTCTCCCTACTTCTATGCCCAGATCAGACATCCTCCTTTCCTCAGGCACCTCCAAGCTCAGCATTTGGCCCACCCCAATCTCATGCCTTGCCTCCTTTCATCTCCAGCACCAAAATCCCTTCTTTTCATCTCAGTGGCGTTGACACCACTAATCAGACACCCAGAAACCATTCTCCCACCTGCTATTTAAGCAATTGCTCAGTATGTTGATTCTACTTACTAACTATCTCTATACAGGGGCCGAGGGAAGCAGCCGTCCTGACCTGCAAGAAATGTAACTCAGTTGGTGGAGTAAGATAAAGCCGCCATACTGAAAAGTTAACTCATGGCATGTGGTGTGAGTGACAGTCACAGAGCAAATGCTGCCACTGTTCCAGCTCTCCTATCACTTGCAGAAATCACAGCAAATATCACCTCCTGGGCTTTTTTTTTCTCCTTTTCAGTCTTACTTCCTTTCAATCTATTCCTAGGATCATGGACAGAGTGGTTTGCCTAACGTGCAGGCCTGATTATGTCATTAACCTGCTCAAAATTTGTCAATGGCTTCCTCCTGTCCACAGGACAAGGATTAACACAAAAACCCTTTCACAATCTGGCCCTTACTAACCTGTCCAGCCCCATCTCACACCAGTCCCTGCCCGCGTGCGTACTCAGTCCTTTAGTTATTGAGCTATACGTAATTCTCAGCGCATACTACGTTTTCTCCCACTTCCATATTCTTGCCTCCATTTATTTGCTCAGCATCCTTTGATTCTGAGTTGAAGGGACAGCTCAGATGCTATCTCTTCTAGGGAGGTTTCTCTGCTTTTTTAGGACAGAATCGGGTATTCTTTTACTGCCACTTCCATGGACTGCATTATAATAATTATATGACTGTATTCCCACTAAGGTTTTGAACTCCTAGAGAAAAGGGACCATTAAAAAAAAATCTTTCCTCAGGATTTATTTATTTTTTTTCTGTTGTTTACTTGTTTTTCTCAACCATATCTTTTGGGCCAGGTACCTAACTCGCAGTGCCTGGAATATAGTCGATTCTTAATAAATATGTGAGTTATTTGATTTCACATAAAGATATTTCTGATGAGTGAGGGTTATTCCTTGTTAGGGTAGGTTTATGGAGGGATCTACAGGGTCTCTGAAAAAAATTCAGGCTGGGCATAGTGGCTCACACCTGTAATCCCAGCACTCTGGGAAGTGAGGTGAGAGGACTTCTTGAGGTCAGGAGTTTGAGACCAGCCTGGGCAACACAGTGAAATCCTATCTCTACAAAAAACTTTTTTTTTTTTTTTGAGACAGGGTCTCACTCTGTCTCCCAGGTTGGAGTGCCATGGCACAATCCCATTTTCACTTGGAGATACATTAAATGACCTTTAAATGTTTCTTTAATCAGTCAGTAAATATTTATTAAGCCTCAGCTTTTGGGCATAGCATTGCGGTAGGGATGTAGAGAAAACTACGATTCTAACCTTTAAGGAACTTATAGTGTAGAGGGTCCAAAAGAAACACAAGAAAACACTAATGAGACAGGGCCAACATGGCAGGGCCTGAGTGAGTGGTCCAGATCACAGATACAGTGGGAGCTGAGATAGGACAGACAAGTGAGTGGGAGAGCTGAGAATCTTCATGTAAGAGGTAATGCTTGAGAGAGGGCTGAAAACAAGGCATCAGATGTGGGTAGTTAAAGGGGAGAAAGAAAGGCAGTCTGGAGTGTAGGTATACCAGAGAGCCTGGCCAGCGTGGAGCATGTAGCAGGCAGTTCACAACTTGTTTCTGAAGAAAGAGAAACATCCCTTGGGCCATTCTTTGTTGCTTTCTCATTGTAGGTCTAACAACCTTTAGATATTTTACTCCACTTTGTCTTCATTCAGGAGTGAGTTATAATCACATTAATTATAGTACACACAGAGAATAAAAAACATTCTTTTTTTTTTTTTTTGAGTTGGAGTCTCACTGTGTCACGCAGTCTGGAGTGCAGTAGCACACTCACAGCCACCGCAGCCTCGACCCCTGGGCTCAGGTGATCCTTCTACCTCAGCCTTCCAAGCAGCTGGAATTACAGGCTGGGATTATGGAAACCTAAAAAATAATAATCAAGGTAAAATCACAGTACTTGATTAATGGCATGACCCTAAACAGAGCCAGTAAAAACTTTGTGCGGAAGAAAATCAGAAGAAAACCAAGCCCAGGTGTGGGGGTTCACACTTGTCATCCCAGCACTTTGGAAGGCTGAGGCAAGAGGATTGCCTGAGCCCAGGAGTTTGAGATCAGCCTGGGCAACTTGGTGAGACCTCATCTCTATAATACATTTTAAAAATTAGTTGGACGTGATAGCATGCTCCTATAGTTCCAGCTACTTCGAAGGCTGAGGCAGAAGGATCGCCTGAGTTCAGAAGGTTGAGGCTGCAGTAGCTGTGAGCATGACACTGTACTCCAGCCTAGGTAACAGAGTGAGATTTCGACTAAAAAAAAAATTGCCAATGCTGACTATATTTCAAGTCATCATGGCGGGGTGTTGGGAAAAGTTTTCAATTAGCAATAATCACACCTCTGATAAACTTCATTGGATAGGATATTGCCACTGCACAAAGCTATTTAGCTCAATTACTTTATCAGGGCTGAGAATCCTGCAATTCTCCTTGGAGAGAGGTTGCAATAATCTTACATGCTCCAAGAAATTATAAAAGTTAGAGGTTACAATAATCTTAAATGCTTCAAATGTATAATAATTTAAATAACTAGTAATATGCAGTCATAGAATTATAGCATTTTGCAGCTGTGATGGACCTTGAAAGTCACTTAGGCCATCATTCATTTAATAAAGAAGAAACTTAAGGCTTGGGGAAAGTTGGGATTTGCCCAAAGTCATTCATCAAGTGAACAGCAGATCTATGCCCAAAGATTCATATCTTCTGACAGCCCATTACCCATAATGCCTGACGAGTGTCTCCTTTGTCCCTTGGGTCCTGCTGGTGAAGCTCCCTGGACTCTCTATTAGGTCTGGTGGTAGATCTGTCCTCTACATACCACTGCCATAAGACATTTCAGTCCTCATCTTCTGTATGTGTCCTCCCTGATAGCTCTAGGTGAATGACTTTTTAAAAATTTGTTTTTATTTCTTTTTTTGCAACTCCTATGAGTGTGCTGAAGGCCACTGAGGAGGAAAATGATGATTTCTAACTTCTCTGAAGCTGGGATAAACTTTATTATTTGTATTACTATGTTTATGGCTGTGCATAGTTTTAACTGATGATGTCAACAGGTTCTGTAGACTCAGTGATTTCAGAGGGCTCATCCCTGCTTAGGCAGGGATAAAACCTGAACCAAGAATGGCTTCACATAACTGCATATGCCAGTTCAAGGGGGAAAAAAAAAAAATCAGCTGCTAGTGCCTTTTCTGTTTCTTCTAGAAAAATAGTCAATGGGGACAATTTCAGAAAAATCTTTTCTGAAATCACATTTATGATTTCAAAGTAGTGAACCCATGGCCAAAAAGGATGTCATCATGCTAAATTACCAGTGGGTAAGCTTTCACATTCTGAAAATGAGCGTTTGATGAGGCTCTGGGAATTCTCATCCACTTTTAAGGATAGTGTCCCCATCACCTGGGGATAATATATAGCTGCCAACTCCAAAAGGAAACAGACTTGAAAGCAGCACAGATTGGACAATACTTTGGAACCATGAATCTTTCTGTATTTTTTCCATACCTCCTTCTGTAAGGGGTTTTAATTCTTATGTTTAAAGTGTGATATGGCTGGGCATGGTGGCACAAGCCTGTAATCCCAGCACTTTGGGAAGCCAAGTTGAGGGGATTGCCTGAGTTCATGCATTCGAGAACAGCCTGGGCAACTTGGAGAGACCTCATCTCTACAATAAATCAAAGAAATTAGCCAGGCATGGTAGCGTGCACCTGTAGTTCCAGCTACTTGGAAGGCTGACATGGAAGGATTGCCTGAGGCCAGCAAGTCAACGCTGGGGTGGCTGTGAGCATGCATGCCACTGCATTCCAGCCTTGACAACAGAGTGAGATTCAAACTAAAAAAAAAAAAAATTGTGATATAATGATTTTCTTCTAGGGAACAGACCTTTGAAAAAACAGGTAGGTTGGACTGAGAAAGCAATGGCTTCTCTGGGCAGAAGTCAGTCTTACCCAGGGGAAGATAGGTCATTATCCTTAGGCACAAAAACGAACTTTTAGGTAATAAAAACTCAGTCATGATCATTGCTTATATCTAGCAGTATCACTTGAAATACATTTAACATGCAATCTAGCCGGCAACCTTTAGCGATTGTGTTCTTTGGTGCCATTTGTCTTCAGGATCCATGGCAGTATTTTCAATCTCTTTGGCATTCTGAATGAACATCTTGTCAGTTACTCTGATGGGGTAGGAGCTCTAGGTGGGTAAAACATATACAAGCTTGTTAGCTGGATTCATTTTATTCTTAGAACCATGGGGGTCCAAGTCTGTGTACTCTAGAAAGAGGTCTTACAGGGGGCTACGTTTTATTTTCAGTTCATTTCAAGGATTCATTTCTAGTCCTCAGGGACCTGGATTGTTCCCAAAGAAAATGGGGCAAACAATGTTTTCACTTGCAGGCACAAAGGGAGAACTGGTGCTCTGGGATCAAACTACTACATACTTGAAATGCCCAATTTTACAACAGTTATCTGAACCGGATGCTGCAGGGAACATTTGATCATGCCAGTATAAACACTATGAAATAACACTGTGCTTCAAGACGATAATAACAATAACAAAAATAACAATATTTAATATACACTGAATACCCATGATGTGCCAGCAGCTCTCTCAGGGCTTTAGCATATAATGTGTCAGTTAATCTTCACAATAACCTTACCAGGTATGTATTATTATTATTCCCTTTTTGCAAATGAGAAGATAAAGATACAGAGAGATTAAGTAACTTGCCCAAGTTCAGCAGTTAATAAGTAGAGGAGCCATCCTATCTAACTCCAGAGCCTGCACATTAGCAAAATTGTTCAAACGAACTTACTAGAAAAACCATCCTAGACCTGCAGAATTTGTAGTTTTGGTATTCAGTGAATTTGAATGATGTAGATCAAGTGGTTCTCAACTTTAGTTAGATATTAGGAAAACTCAGGAAATAAAAAAAAATACTATTGCCCTGGTCCCACTCCAAACCAATTAAATCAGAAGCTCCAGGGGTGACCGCAGATATCATTTTATATATATATATATTTATTTAGTGTTGGAATCTCACTCTGTCGCCCAGGCTAGAGTGCAGTGGCATGCTCATGGCCACTACAGCCTCCACCTGCTGGGCTCAGATGATCCTTCCTCCTCAGCCTTCCAAGTAGCTGGAACTGCAGGCACGTGCTACCACGCCCGGCTAATTTTTTTTGATTTATTGTAGAGACAAAGTCTCACCAAGTTGCCCAGGCTGGTCTCGAAACCCTGAGCTTAGGCAATCCTCTCATCTCGGCCTCCCAAAGTGCTGGAATTATAGGCTTGAGCCACTGGACCTGGCCAGTATCAGTATATTTTAAAAGCTCCCATCTATTATTTTAAAAAGAAGGCGGGGGAAAAATAAACTCTCCAGAGAGGCCTAATCTGTAGCCAGGTTTGGGAATCATTGATGAAGGTAGCTATATGGGATTTAAGTCCCTAAATTACTCAAAGGCCCTGCATTGCCTCCAATGCCTACCCATTTTAAATCAAGAAATTAGTCTCTGTGCTTTGCAAACTTCCAGTCAGCAGGATGCACTGCAGAGAGTAAACTTAAAGTTATAGTACAATTCCAATGGGAAAAGATTCTGGAGATAGTCTAGTTTATCCTCCAGTTTATCCATGCCATCCCTGGTAGATAGTCACCCACTCTCTTCCTGAACACATCTACCTGTTTGTCAGTATTGGTATGTTCATTTAAAGATTTTCTGTGCATTGGGAAAAGGAATCTCTGTTTAATGCATGGTGAACATATTATTCCATCACTGAGCAACCTAAATGCCAGAAAGTTCTTCCTTTTATGAGGAGAAATATGTCTGTCTTTCCATATTTTCTATCCCTCTGCCCTCTGCAATGATATAGAATAGGTCAATCCCTCCTTGAGACAACAGCCCTACACTGGTAGATGCTGACCCAGATGTCTCTCCTGAGTGTCCTTTCTCCTGTATGGAGGACCTGTCTCATGCCTCCTGTGCTACGTTACTCAGGTCAGGCTCCTCTGGACACCCTCTGGTTCATCACCTGAAAGTGCTACCACATTTCTTCCTTCTGAATTAATGCAATTATTTTTTGTTTTATTTTGTTTTGAGAAAGCAGGATTTATTGAGAGGACAGAAAAGCTCCTACAGTGGGAGGGGACCCGAGGGGGTTGCCTGTAATTAATTCTTAAATTTAGATTCAGGACTTTATACTTGTTTTGTTAAATGTCCTCTGGTGGGCTGTGTAATTAGTGTGGGAATCCGAAAGGTGTTAAGACTGAAAAGACTATAGGACTTGGACTCTGTCGTGTTTGTGTTCAAATTCCCCCTCTGCTGCTTACTTTCCTTCATACTTAGGCAGGCTTGTGTTCAGTACAGAGAGAAGTAAAAATATTTAGGGATATGTAAATACTTGACAATGAAGATACCTTCATTCCTTACCACTCAATGTGGCTTCCCTGGGACAAAAGAGACCACATTTTTTTTCTTTTTATTTTGGATGTAATCTTATCCCTACCTAAACTATCTCTACTAACTCTACTAAAGTCACTATCACAATTACCGTGCTTATATAGCATATAGAGAGATAAGACAGGTAGATGGTATGGAAGTTTACTTAAAGGTTGATTTGGACTGGGTTTGGTGGCTCACGCCTATAATCCTAGCACTCGCCTGAGCCCAAGAGTTTGAGGCTGTGGTCAGCCGTGAATGTGCCACTGCACTCCAGCCTGGGTGATAGAGTGAGAACCTGACTCAAAAAAAAAAAAAAAAAAGAAAGAAAAAAGATTGATCTGGAAATGGGAACAATGAAAATAAAACATCTTGTGCTTAAATTTTTGCTCCTGAAACAAGGAACAAAAATGTACTATTTAATCATGATTGCAAACGGAAGTAAACACCATGTTGTGAATGATTAGCCTGCTCTGCAGATGGAAAACTTCACATCATGAAATGGCTTAATGTGCTGAAATGAAAAGCTAAGAACTATACAGTCAAGGTCAGGAACCATTTCTCATGTTTCCATCTCTTAGTCCCTCTCACAGTGCTGGTTCAAGATAAAACACTAGATCGCCATAAAAGTATCAGATTTTTAACTCTTGTCATCATTATAGCAAAGTTTCAGTCCCTTATTACCATAATGCTAAGTAGAAACACAACTCATTAAAAAAAAAATCCACTCTGTCTTGGAGGACTGAAGATCAAGAATAAAAAAATCTGACGAAGTTGACTAAGCAGGCGAGGAAATAATCCTTTTTCAAATCTCAAAGTGGCGGAGTCTCAGATGAACTGTTGTCTGGAGCCTGGGAGAGACAGAAGTTGAGCTCTTTCATAGACCTGCCGCTAGGATGTTGTTTCCCTGACTTCTGTACACATCTAAGAAACGAAAGGGCTTGGTTTAGCCAATTCGGTTTATCACTTGTGATATCAATTGTTTGACTGACAACGGTGGGATCTCTTACAGAGCTCTGGTGAAAAGTTTACAAGTTAAAAATCGGTGTCCTGTGCTGCTTTTCCCAGAGAACGTAGGTTGTACACTGTTTCTCTTCACAGGCTGTTTTGGTGGAACTCAGTGGCTGAATCACCCCAGTGAGAAGTCTGTGGGCAACGAAAGCATACTTCTACATTATCTCTTTGAAAGTGGAATGGGACACAACCTCTGCCAGCGATTTTTTTTTTTTTTGTGAACCATTCTATTAATACCAATCAAATCGAGAAAATGATCAAATGAAATTGCATTTTGAGCATCATAAGCTGTGTAATGTCTATTCTGTTAAATTGGGGCCTATAATTGCTTCTCTACTGAAAAGATACAACAAAGACAGCAATCATGGCTTGTCATTATCCCAGACTAGAAAACCGGCCTTTGCCGGGAGGACTTCAAAGGCTTGTGGTTCTCGAATTGCATTTGGCTGCTATTGTTGAAGCGCAGGCAATCTTGATGAGGTGTTTACACTGAGGTAAGGCGCAGAGCAGAGCGGCTGAGTGCCTGGGTCTAGAGCCATTAAAAAATTGTACATTATGTTCCTTGCTTTGAAGTGAGGGTTTGTAGGTAGGAAAGCAACTCAGATTGAGTACAGCTGAGCTAGATTGGGCTGCTACTTCTCTCTCAAAGAAACTCATCAGGTTCTTAAAGAATCAGACAGCACTACAAAAAAACAAAAAGTTCATGCTTTACCAAGACTATACGTGAATTAACGTATCTGCATAGACACACTGAAACGTGTTTAAATAAGCATGTTACAATTAAGCTCTGCAATCCCTGGAAGTTTTGCCTCTTTTTCCCTTTATATTCTGTTTTTACTACTGGCCTTATGTTTTGACGTTGTGGGGAGCCCCACATTCATTCATTGGGTTCTTTGTTACTCTTGTGCTTTGATGGTATTTACACCTAACACATATCTAAATTAGACAGGCCAACGAGTTGATTTATTAATGTAGTGTTTACTTACCATCATTTCAACACAACTATTAGCCACTCTCTTCCAGGCATAATCACTGGATTCAGTGAGCATTTCTTAATTAACCTGGCTAATGAGCAGCACTGCTGCTGCCTGTGTTTACACATGGTCAGCAAGAAGCTGAGGCACAACCATGCAGTCTATCACCATCGGGTTGCAACCCTGATATTCAGCACAGGTGCTTTAATTATCCAAAGGTTTGTATTCTTCAGCCGGAGACAAAACACACAGAGAATTTTGGCTCTGCTGTTGGCCACTTTCTCTATATTTAGCATGCACATGTCAATAAGAATTTGATGACACTGAAACCTCTGAATATATTATTTTTTCTTTCTTTCTTTTTTGAGTCAGGTCTCACTCTGTTGCCCACACTGGAGTGCATTGGGGGGATCATGGCTCACCACAGCCTCAACCTCCTGGGCTCAGGCTTCCGCCTCAGCCTCCTGAGTAGCTGGGAGAAGAGAAGTGTGCTACCATGCCCGACTAATTTTTTGATTTTTTAAAATTTTTTTCTCACTATGTTGCCCAGGGTGGTAAATTCATTTTTCATATAAGATAGTTGAGGTTTTAAAAAACCTCAAACTAATTGTCAGTCACCTACTTAAAACCCTCCCAGACTTCTACATTGCCCCCCCAGTCTTTAAAGATTTCTAAGGCCCCACGACCTTGAGGCTCCTGTCTGCTTCTGCAGCCCTGACTCCTCACTCTTTGCCTATTGCAGCTTTCAGTTCTGCTGATGGGCCATGGG